GTTAGTCGACAGATTATCCTCACTGCACGTCGAACCACTCAGTCCATAAGTGGTTGAATTCCCTCCTCGGTAAATCCCGCAGCGTGTAGCGACTAACGACACTAGTTCTGTGTTGGTTTATTATTCTTCTTTGACTACCTGTGTAGTGTTCTTGTTTGGCGACACTCCGTTTAACATGTTGTTCTTGCATTCTTACCGTGAATATTCACAGTTCCCAGTTGGTTCACGCAAACGTCTTAACTCTCTTAGAGCATTCAGTATATCAGCCTGGTCCATCGCTTGTCAGGCTTTCACAGTAGCCTTACCTGCAAGCGAATAATCTTTTTCATTTCCTTGTACCCCCACATATCGTGGCACGAAAATGAAACTAATCCTTGTCAGCCGTGAACTAGACTGTGTAGATATTGAACAGGACTGGAGACAGGGGAGGACTGGGCTGCCTGTTATTGCCTACAGACGTCACATGCGAGCATCGCCCTCCTTTGGAATAGTGCAGCATTTATCCAAAGAACAGAAAGACACAGGAAGTGCTGACTTCAATAGGCGGACACATTAGTTGGTGGAATGGAACTTAGTTAAAAGCAACTTCCAGATCTATGGCAAATGTACGTCTTTCGTTGCAAAGAACCTTTCTTAAAACCCCACCTGTGTGAATATAATCTAATACATGTGAAGATAACGAACAGGGGAACTCTTCTTCTTTGACTACTCTTTTTCCATGTATCTTTGTACAGTGTTGGACGAGACGCATGGATCTTCTGTTTTTTTTTTTTTTTGTGGTAATAATTTGCTGTGTAAGTTTGTCTTTAATTCTCTAAAGCCGGTTTTGGCGTTGTCTCCAAATGTGACCCTTTGGGGTAGACCAGTGAACATGTTGTTCTTTGATTTTTTCTAAAACCTTTAGACAAATTGTAGAAATGTATACATGCATGAATTGCCGCCATAGATGGCATGTCTTCTGTTGTTTGCTTCTGTCCCTATACCTTCAGTCAGTGTCATAATGTACATGTTGTTGAACATCTCACACATACTCGCACAATCTTCACACTAAAAACGAACATGACTTTTTTCATTGTCAAAAACAAAAGAAAACAACGCAATATGGAAGATTATGGGAACAGTCTGTTGTGATTGTCTGTATCTAAAACCATGTGTGAGAGTGGGACGGTACAATGAAAACATTTTTACATTAAAAAAAAAATAGTAATAATGTAGTAAAATAATAACAATTCAATGTTTCTTGACTAAGAGCAATCAAATACATCACTGCCGACTTGCTAGGCCCGTCGCGTGGCGAGGCAGGACAAAATCTGACCTGGTAGGTGCCCTCTCACCATTGCTGTTCATTATGTACATAGATTGAATAACACAGGAGGCAAATACAGACACTAAAGAAATCAGTGAAATTATTTTTGCAGACGATCAATGTCTAATACACTAACAAGATCAGACTCTACAACTCCATAATGACTCCTTACATCAAACCTGAATAAAGTATAACATGAAAATAAACACGGCGAAAACAGAGGTAATGAGGATATGAAGGGAACACAATAGCATGAGTGTTCATGTTAACGGTACTACAATCAATCAAGTACGAGAAATTAAATACTTTACGGAGGATTTTGACGCATCTGGCATATTGTACTGAATGTTTAACATCACGCTGACGATTTAAGGGGCCACGTTAGCGCAGTCGACAGGAGACTCGCTTTCAAATCCAGCTGCAGCTCACTGTCGGTGTTCGAAACGGGGCGGTTCCCGGGCTTCACCCAGCCTCTAGGAAATGGGTACCAGGGTTAACACTCTGTGGTAAATGGAGGAACATCACTGTAGGTACGGAATTGCGTGCGGACGGCGACACAGGCTATTCGTACTGGTGGCAGAGCACTTATGGTTTATAACCGTGTGCAATGACGCTGGTTCACATCTCCCGACCGACTTTACCTTTTATCTCTTTGAGTCCCAGGGGGTTTAGCATCACAGGCCCAGTGGGTAGTAAAAAAAAAGTAATAAAATCGGCGCATCATGCGTTGATTGAGCTTCTAGGTAGGGACCTATGAGCGTATGATGCGTTTCTTGGGACTCAAAGAGTTAAGGTGATGATTTGTAAAGCTCTGATATTTGCCGATACTAGACACGAGACGTCGCGCGTGGCTTATGTGATTTTTTTTTCAGAGATATAACGAGCGGACAATTGTAATAGAGATGAGGTGTCTTAGGGGAGACAAGAAAATATTAAATAAAAAATGAAGAAATTAGAAGAAGGCCTGGACTGAAACTAGTCATACGGTTTATTAAAGAACAACAAATGAGATGGTTTGGCCACTTGAATAGAATGTCCTAGTACCAACTGCCACAGAAAGCCACGTTGAAGAAATATAATGAACACAAAGTAAGACCACGCAAGATATGGAGCCCCCTCCACCCTCAGCAACACCTCGCTGAGGTGAATAGTGAAACGAAAGAAGATGAGCAAGCATATCAACGGAAGATGGCAGACTCGATAGAGAGATGAGAGATAGAAGCAAGAGTACAAAAGGCAAATGCTGTCACTTACCAGTTAGTCCCACTGCTTAGACACACAAGCGTCTCCCTTGCAGCAAAACAGTTCTTCTTCTTCTTCTTCACTTCCTCTTTTACCGCTGTGGGTGTCGAGGGAGATGTAAGGTTCTGTTTCTAGCTCTTCTGGCTGCCTCGACCATAGGCACATCGTGCTGTTGTAGAGTTTCTCTGATGTTATCCTTCCATATTGTTCTTGGTCTACCCCGTGCTCTACGTCCTTTTTCTCTTCCCATGTATGCTTTGTATGGTATGGTGTCACAAGGCATTCTTTCTAAGTGGGCAAACCATTTCACTTGCTGTCTTTGTATGTAATCCAGAATTGGTTCTGTGCCGACTTGTTCTCTTATGATCTCATTTCTGATCTCATCTCTTATGGTCACTCATACAGCCCTTCTCAGACATCTCATTTCCGTGGTTACTAATTTTCTTTTATGGTTTGTTGTGAGTGACCATGTCTGGCACTGGTAGCACAGAGTTGGAATAAATATGCTTTGAATAAGATGTCTCTTTGTGCTGATTGGGATTGTCTTATGCTGTAAGAGGGGGCTAGCTGTCCAATACTTGGTTTGCTTTACTGCATCTAATGTCAATTTCTTTATCCAATTTCCCATCTTCGGTAAATGTAGTTCCCAGATATTTAAACTCAGATACCTGTTTAATGCCTTTGTATTCTATTGTTATGTTTAGATCTGTCTTCTTTTTTCCTATTGACATTACTTCTGTCTTTTCAGTGTTGATTCTCATATTATTTGTTTTACATTCTTCATTCATGGATGTTAGATGTTGTTGCAATTTCATGGCTGTATCTGCTATCAAGGCCTGGTCATCTGCAAAGAGTAATTCGTTGATCTTACTAAGATCTTCATTCATGGGCTTGGCATTCTTGCATATACTGTCGATGTAGGTAATAAACAGATAAGACCAACCCCTGTCTTACTCCAGATGTCACTGTGAAAAGATGAGATATTCCCTGATTTATTCTAACTACACTTCTACAATCCCTGTATAAACTTTTGCACACTTTTGCAAAACAGTAAATGAATAAAAGCTTCTTTATCCCTACTTTATGTAAGCCGTGCCCAATAGGGCACACGAACAGAAAATAACTACATGTGAAATGCGCTGTTTCCGCAAGGTCACTAACAACACTAGATCAGACAGGGTTACGAGTACTAGCATTAGAGGGGGGAAAGTTGTAACAAGACCATGTCTTGATTATATTGACAGACACGGAATGAAATGGTACAGCCACCTAGTGAGAATTCAGCCAGACCAAACTGCATAAAGGACTTTTACAGTAGAACATCTGGGAGGCAGGCGACAGGAAGACCAAGAAAGAGAAGGATACATAGTGTAGCTGAAACCTACAAAAAGATTAACAAAAACATCACTCAAGCCACCCAAGAAGCGCAAGACAAATACTGAAAAACAACGACACTTGGCTTCAACCTGGCATCAGTGAGAACGACAAAAGAAGAAGAAAGAAAGAATAATGTAGTAACCGAAACACGAGTTTGACGACGTAGCTACGCAGAAGTGTACTTGCACCGGAAGTTGAACAAAAAAAATCAGGAAGATTTGTCAACAAGACAGCTGAGGGAGTACATATTCAATTGTCTAGCAGCTTAATTTCCATCAGCCAGACAGTAAACAGCAAGTTTTCCTGATTTAGAAATACACCAGCGCCTCTGTTTATTCATTCGTATGTAGACGCTTCGCGTGTTCAAACGGTGTTCAGTAAGAATTGTTTGCGAACAAACTTGACGCAACTGACACAACTCATTTTTCTGAATCTACTCATCCCCGAGACTCATCGGTCACAAGAAAGGGAGTAACGTCACATCGGCATTGATATGTTCCATCACAGTTTATATTTACTCCTCAGTTTCTGCATTTCTGATCGATCTTTTCATTTCTTACTGTACACTGGAATCTAAAACACCGTGAAGCATGCTACAAACTATACAGAGAACTGCAATTATAAAAACCTGTTGAGTTCATAATCATTCGTTTTCGTCAGTATCAAAACATTGTGATGATTGATCTGCAAAGCGACTGTCAGATGATCAGTAGCCTGATTACAAGGCTACTCGTTTACTGTACTCCCACATTCACAGTTTTGCAGTTTCGAAAGTGAACTGATAATGGTTGTACATATCAAGAGATTTGTAAAAGCATTTTGCAGAGATTAGAACAGAGGAACGGACACTTCTGTGAAAACTCAGTTCTAAACTGAACAGCCAATATACTTTGCAACAGAAAGATCTTTGATTTAGTCAGCACAAGGAAATTTCTAGTCACTAATGACATAATGTCCTAATAAAGAATTATATGTGTTTAATATGTAAATTCACATGTCTGTGATGGCAGTAACGTCAGTCGAAGGGGAGCTTGACCTGCTCCTCTGAATTCATATACACACTGTGACCGGTAAGATGTCTCTGCGACTTGGAAGTGTTAGTTCAGTTTGTTCAACAGCTTTTGATCCAAATGAAATTCCCATATCTATAGATCATGTGGAAACAGCCAGATTTCTGTTGGACTTTCTGAGTGACATCTCATCAAAACCAGAACTCAGTGAAGGGCCTTTGGTAGTATATGCAGTTCAACGATATGAAAAATACTGGCTGCCTTTGGTGGCAAAGCATTCAGACCGTTTGTTGCCAGCACCTCTTGACATAGAGTGGGTGTGGCACTGTCATATGTTGTGTCCTGAGGCATACCATCTAGACTGCAACAATATTGTCGGGAAATTAATCGACCATCATGTGATAGACAGAAACCAGCGAAAGGAACTGTTAAAAGAATCAGAAAGATTTTGGAAAAATGAATATGCTGATGTGCCTTTTTCTACTTGTGACGCTTTTGCTGCGCGGTTTGATCAAGACTTTGTTTCGGCCTTGAAATACAACTTAGTACAAGCTATTTCCAGACAGAAGACATTTTACTATCAGGTTAGTCTTCCTCACTACCGAGACGAAAAGTTCTTGAACATTGCTTTAATGCGCTACAAGAAATTTCTATTTTTAAAGTGCCACAACCCAGGAGTTTTTCTAGTTCCTTGTTATGACAGTGATCTCTTGTGGCACGCACATCTACTTCATCCATTCATCTACAAAAGTGACACTGAGGCATATCTAGGTTACTTGCTGCCTCACGATGACTCGGTCAATGACCGATCATCAGGTTCAAAACTTTCTTTGGCTGAAGCTAAAACTCGGAATTTATGGAGGAAAGTTTTTAATGAAAAATTTTCCCATTTTGGGGCAATGTATCGAGGTGACCCACCATATTCAAGTCTCAGTCCTATGAGTAAAGAAGATGTGTACAGGATCTGCACTAAACAAGCAGATGTTCTCATAGAGAAAATTCGCATATCAGGGCTTCCAGTGGGGAAAAACCTATAAACTGAAGCTGTGCTATAACACTGGCTATCAAAATTTCAATCGCTGTTTGTTTGTGACAGAAAACATTGCCACTCTCAAGGGAAACTCTCGGACGTTTGAAGATAGCACTGTTGATGCCCACTTTCAGTTTGACACTCGTTACAATGATAAATTAATTGCTAGCCTTCAAATGAAATCAGGAAAACTTTGCCTTGGAACCAGTGATATAGTTGGCGAGGGAAGAATTGATCTTCAGAAGAAGATACAGCCCTTGAACAACAAAGGACTCTCAGCGAATGATGACATTGATTGTGGGGATGGATTATCAATTGGAGTGGTAGGTTGTTTTTGTTTGTATTTGCTGTAACAATATTGGTATTGTCATCTGTGCAAATCTGATAATCTGTCGTTTTAATCTTTTTGACTTAAGAACACTCTTTCCAGTAAAAACATTACAACAAAACCATGCAGACAATTTTTTTCTTCTTCTTCTTCAGCGTAAGGGTCACAAACTGAAAAGAGGAAAGTCTTTGAAGGTGCAAGCAGAAGACACAATTGGACATGTGTGCAGCAGAAAAAAGAGGAGTGGGTCAAGGTGTTTGAACAAGTTAAAGACTTGTGTAGGTTTCTAATCACTTTAGATCGTCAGTGCAGGGACTGGCCAGCTTGTGCTGCAGAATCAGAAATTCAGCAAATGATTCATGACAATTCCCGCCCAAGTGATGTGATTGTCTATACAGATGGCTCTGTGTTGAGGGGCAGACAAAGTGCATGGCGGTTCAAAGCAAAAGTGAATGGAGGTCGCCCAGTGCAACAAATCCTTGTATATGGTATCACGTCTAGTTTGAGAATGGAGATGGCGGCAGTCACTGCTGTGGTCGATTGGCTTGAGAATCAGTTGCATACAACATGCCGTGATTGTAACTGACTCACAGAGCATGTTGAGAAAGGTGGAGACATCTATGCTCCGTGCAGAGTGGCAAGCATCACTTCAGAGGTCCCAGGTAGTTAGCATCCTTTAGATATTTACTCCAGGTAATGCTGATGTGTTGGGAAATTAGCAGGCAGATAGACTGGCCGACTATGCACCACTTGGTGGTGATTTGATGTATGACAAGCTAGATATTGTAAGCGCCCTTCAGGAGCAAGTGAACAGTGAAGAGGCACAGATAGATCATTATGGTCTGAGGAGAATGGTACTGTGAGGAGTTACCAGGGGATCTGACAGACGCTCAACACTCAGGGAAAGGGTGAAATGCATATACAGTCAGACAGCTACTGGTAAAGTCAGAATTGGAACTCTTTACTTGCTGCTGAAAATGGGGACAGAGCACCTATGGGGGTGTCCTGAGTGCTGTGATGTCGATTCTTAAGGTGTCCCTATGCCAAATTTTTTTAATTAATGACCAAAATATCACTTTTTCAATGTGTCTGTTTTTGTAAAGTTCGGCATTTGTAGAATAGATTACACACAAACAAAATGTATGTCATTTGTATACAATTTAGCATTGAAAAGTTAATACTAAAGGCACCAATACAATCACTATATAAGATGGAAAAAATACAGTTTAAAAATCAGTTTTCTCACATCTCTATATTTCAGATTAAAGAAAATCTTTCACAGTTAGAATCATGATTTCTGGATCAGCTCCCAGCCTTTTTCCAGTAATTTTATTGTTTATCCATATTCCCTTCCTGATTTTCCCCCTTCATTCAACACAGTCCATGACATCCTGTTCCCATGAACCAGCCTCAAAATCTGTTTCATTCATATCATCCTTGCACATAGCTTTATATTGTAGTAGCGTCTAACCTACTCATCTGTTATTCGCCTTACACGATGCTCTTTGGGCCTTAACCATTACCAGTTTACTGAGTGGGTCCTTGCCATTTGAGCCTTCAAAGACTGAGCATTAAGGGACCTTGTATGATACTTGCTCTTTGCTGTCATTGTTTGCAGTTTTGTCATGCCACTTAGGTCAAAAATTCTTCTTAGGCATTGCATATAAAAGCTGTTTAGTCAGTTATCCTCGTACACATTAGTCGACCACATTTCACTATCATAGAGAAGAAAGAGTGCTGAGAACAAGATGGATGGACAATACGACTGTTTGAAAATGATTGTATTTATACAGTTCCCCTAATAGTTCAAAAAGAAAACTAAATGGGTATGCTGAGATCCTGGGTGATAGAAATTACGTTTGATTTTTTCAAAGAAAACCTTTTCATTTCAAAGATAAATTTTTTTAATTTTAAAATTATATTACAATTTTTCAATATTTTCACCATAATTTTTAAAAATATTTTTGTATCTATCTATCTGTTGTCTTTCTCTGCTTGATGCTGTTAGGCATTGCAGGCTCAACAAATGATCAGTTTCCGGGATAATGCACACTCATTAGCTTGCTAGTGATATTGTTGTGTTTCAGTAAGTTGTTAACTCCATCTATCCATATCTTCTAACCTTTCTCTGCCTCTTGATGTTTCCATTCTCATGTTGTATGTTATAGCAGCCAGTAATGTTGGGTTCATTCTGACCAGGTGGCCAAACCATTTCAATTTTTGTTTTTCACTAAATTTAATTACAAGTGTTGTTCCCACCATTCTAATCTTCTTCAATCCTTCTGTCCGAAAATTTTTATCAGAAGATCGGTAGCCCTTGTGAAAGCTATCGTGCAGTCCATATTCCCCTGTGTATCATACAGTTTTGTCTACATTGTGGTTTGAACAGGCCAGACTGTGTCTCTGTTAGCAGCACACAGTTGACAGTGTTGGAGCACATGCTCAGCATTTTCTAGTGCCACACTATAGGGATACATCTTCACGTTTCCTACACTGGGATATTTTAACATATGTTGATAAACTCTGTTGTGCCCTGTCTTTAGTCTGAATATAATGCATTGTGCTTCGAAAGTTGTTGAAGTGAGTCTTGAGAGAATTTTGTGTGTGTATCTATCGCCCTTTCTTGGATACTAGATTGTATCAATTTCTTAGTCTCTTGGTGGGTTAAGTCCTTATTTTATTGTACCATGTTACTGCCGCTTCTGACCAATCTGTCTGCTGTTTCATTGCTTTCCAAGCCATAGTGACCCAGAATTCACTGCAATACAGACTGTTTTACTAAAAAGCCCAAGTGAATCAACTGTTTCATCATGTAGCTCCATTATATAGTTCAGTGGCCACTAGATAACTGTTGGGGTCAGCATCAGGCATACCAGTAGCCCCATATCTATATGTATGTGTGTGTGTGTATATATATTAGGGCTGTACTGAATATTTGCTTCTTATTTGCTTCTGGCCGAACAGTAAAAAAAAAGTAAAGGACCTTTTTCCATGCCTTTAGGTATGTAGGGCTAGACCTATATTTTTATAGACCAATCAGCACAAGATGGGTGATGTAGTCAGCATCATGCCGGTTACCTTTACTTTCTGGGACTGCACCTGGTACCCACTCAAGGTTGGGTTAACCTGGGAAGCCGAATAGTGGACCTAATAACTATTCGGTATTCGGCGAATACTTGTGGTCAGGCTGAATAAAACATTTTTTACCTTACACCCGTTTCTGCATAAACTGCGATGGACTGAAATAGCTCTCTTATTAACACAATAGTTGCTGTTGCCTAAGTCTGTCATAGCGGGGGGAATGCGACCCGGTTGCGTGGTACGGCAGCTGGCAAAGTCATTGCCTGCTGACTCGACCGAGGTTCTCAAACTGGGTGCGTATGCCAGGGGTGCCACGGCAAAAATCAAGAAAAGTCAGCTATAAATTGTGACATTATTAAAAAATGCAGTAAGGTTGTAAAAACTGTCCTTTTACTTACCAGCTATTTTCTTAAAGTTATTTTTCAATTCTGTTGCATTTCCAACACTGGATTCTGAGAATGGTCTCACAGTTCTTGGCTGAAAAGCAACATTTCAGAGGTCATAATTAAACAGTTTGTTTACCCAACACAAATAACAGGCAGGAATCATGAACCACTGATTCTGTCTCCCGGTATTTTTTCTGTAGTACCTTGTTTAGAGCAATTATTGGAACAAGAAAGGCAGTGAAAAGAGTATATTGTACTGTACACAGTAATAGGAGAACCTATGGAAACACAGATACATAGATCACATATTCATTGCAAATATGAAGAGCTTTTATTGTGTATTTGTTCACATTTTCCGTGCTACATCTTCATATAATTATATCTGGTTCCTTTTAATTTGTTTAAAACCAATATTTTGTTGGATTTCTCTAATGCAAGGTGTCTTTGTGGTATTGTTGTGCCCATTACTAAGACATGGTTAATACAGGTGGTTGTGCTGCATATTTTTGATTCAAATTTTCTGTGATGCATAGCCTGTGTGGTTATGCTATGTTAAAATAGTAATTGTCAGAAAAATGTGTGAAGCGACATCATGGACAAATACGTTTTTTTTTTGCAAGTATACCTAATACGGTTGGCTCTGTGGCTAAGTCTATGCGAACGCTTTGTGATGCCAGGTTCGATCCCAGCTGCGGGCTATGCGCCTTGCGTTGGTTTCGACAGTGTTATCAAGAAAGGTGACCGTCCAGAAAGCAGTGGCAAACTACTGGGCATAAATTTGCCTAGAAAAACCTCACAACAGCCAGGGGCTGTTAGGGTTGGTTCTGCAACATCCTGTAAAGGATATGCAACTAACCTTATATACTTAATACATCATACTTACAAGACTGGGCAATAATTGACTTCTTTCCTGTCCTCCCCCCCACATCCCCCCCCTCCCCCCCCCCCCCCCCCCAGTCTGCTTCATGGAAGTTGCTTTTTTGAATGGCTAGAACACAGTTGAAGAAGAAGGAGTTCTGGCATCAGGAAGGTGAAGAAGGGATGGAAAAATTGCATCATTGCAAGGGATGAATAAGTATAGAGCATCACACAAAGCAAGAACCTCCGTGCTTCCAGCAGTGACCACCAGGGATACCTGCACCTCTGAACTTGACAACCTTCAGAACACAAGACAGTTCAAAAAGTCTTAAAGCTCCCCCCCCCCCCCCCCCCCACCCCCCCCCCTTTTTTTTTTTTAAATATCCATAGAAAATGTCATTAAACCTAACTTTTAAAGAAAAATGTTTCTCATCTTAGGTGTGGAGTTGTTCGGCCCCAACGTTAGGTCCTTGCATGCTGCGACTGGAGCCAGGTGACTACCAAAGCTTTATGATGCCAGAAGACAGAGAGTCTCTCTGGGGCCCAGTTCCACTGCCACGCCTGCCTCCTGGCACTGAAAGCATGTGCTCTGTCGCCGTGCATAAGTAAGCAGCTGTACTGTGGTATCTGCGCTTATTTGGTTTGTTGTATATTACTATATGACTGTCATTTGTTTGTTTTTCTTTTTCTCCTTTCCGTTTTCCAGTGGTGTTATCACAGGATGCCAGGAGTAAACTGGCCAAGTGAACATTTTTATAAAGATACACCTCTGTCCTGCACTGTGCAGCAGGACTACATGTTTGGTACTCATAAACTATATTGTACTTACCCATGCCCAAGGACATTCTCTGATGAATTGGTGATTCAAACAAAGATGAGCAGACATACAGAAAAGGCAACAAGCAGGAGTTCAAAATAAGCGTCTCCCCCGATAGAGGTGGGAGGGGATTCATCCGCGTCCAAAGCAGTGGTTACACCATTGGAATTTTGGCTTTACTATAAATGATTCTCCCACCTAAGGTTGTGAAATTAAATATATACATTTTCTAAGATAATTAGGATATAATTGAGTACTTAATCCCTCATCTTGACACATAATTACAAAAGAAGGACTATTTACAAATGAAGGAAAGTCTACTATTTGAAATTGCCTTATTCCCATAGAGGTGACAAGATCTGGGCAAGTCTAAGACGAGAGGGGTGTGGGCTGTCATGCGACAGTGACCGAGAAATGTTGAGTTCCTTCTGATGCAGGTAATCTAAGAACAGTGGCAGGCACATTTTTGGTAAATCTTCTTTGCGTTTATCTGCTGTAAACTTCGACGGAAAGCTCTGGGTGTTCGTCCACCTCTGGACTTTACTCTTGCTCCAGAATCTGAGTGGCATGCACATCCGTTTCACAGTCTGGCTTATTTGTATGCAGACTTGTGGTCGCTTGCCTCTCAGGCAGATGTACTCTGACTTCAAATTATATCCTTAATTAGTTGACTCCTATGACATGCTTGTTGGGGGAGGCAGTGGGTTTTTACTTGTTTTCCCCACAATGGGGCCCCGGAACCCACATATGGATATTGGTAAATGATTTCATAGAACATCAAAAAATCGAATGGTTTGGTCATCTTGTCAGAATGGAACAGACTCAGCCGGCAGCTACAGCCTACTCTACTTTCTTGTGAAAGAAAGGTAACACTTTTTAAAGGCGTATTTTTTTAAGACTACTCGCTCACATTCGATGTTGCACACCTTACTTTCTGTGGGCGGTGCTCGCTTTTTAATTGGCTTGAAAAACGTGTTCACACTTTTGCGTCACACAGAGTCATTTTCTGTGTGTAATTTCTGACCAATACATAAACTTCAAGTGAATTTTGTTTACTGTTATTTCAATTAACTGCTGTATTACCATCATGCTGAGACTAACAGAATGAGAAAGAAATTGACTGTTTCCCAGTAGTTGGCATAATCGGAGACCTTTAAAGTCCAGGCACATTCTGTTAACACCATTTTTACGCTGTCTAAAGAAAGCAAACAAACACTCTTGTTGTCTGATGTTATTTTTCCATCTTGTTCATGATCCACCTCATGATCTTCATTCATCTTCTCTTTGAGATGCCTTATATGGTACTGTATCACAGGGCATTCTGTCAAAGTGGGCAAACCATTTGAGTTGTATGTAATTTAGAATTGGTTTTGTGTTGACTTTTTTTCTCTTATGACTTGATTCCTGATTCTATCTTTTCTGATCACTCCAGCAGCCTTGCTTAGGCGTTGCGGATCCATGGTTACTAATTTTCTGGTAGCATTGGGTAGGATGAATATGTTTTGTATGGGATTATTATTTGTTCTGATTGGGATTATAGCTGTCTCAATACTTAGTTTGCTTTATTGCTTTGGATGGTAATCTCTTCATTAAATGTTCCATCTTCAATGAATTTTATTTCCAGATGTTTAAACTCAGATGCCTGTTTAATGCTTTTGCACTCTACTACCATTTTTAAGTTCTGCTTTTTTTTTCCCCATTAACATTACTTGTCTTTCCAGTGTTCATTCTCAGATTATTTGTTGTCAGTTCTTCACTCATGGATATGAGATGTTTCATTCATTTATTTTATATTTGTGTCTTGTTATCCCTTAACGTCGGCTCTGTGACTAAGTCGATGCGAACGCTTCGTGATACCGGGTTCGATCCCAGCTGCGGGCCATGCACCTTGCGTTGGTTTCTACAGTGGTATCAAAAAAAGCAGACCGTCCAGAAAGAAATGGCTAACTACTGCACGTAAATTTGCCTAGAAAAACCACACAACAGCCAGCGGCTGTTAGGGTTGTTTCTGCAATGTCCTGAAAAGGATAGGCAACTAACCTATCCTGTAACACTGCCATTATATCAGTCCATTTAAAACTCATTGTATTCTTGGTAGTGATAATAAATCTTTTGCCAGTTGGCCATGCCCGTCACAACTTTACCAGAGCCCCACCAACCAGGACATTTTGTGGTGACCCAGGATGGCCTTTATGGCTACTGTAGGGACACTGTGCGACACCATATGTCACCCAGTCCCAGCAACACTCTGTTTTGTCCTGGATACAACCTCTCAGGTGTGAATGTGAGGGTAATTTGCAAGTTACAACCTGATTGAAATTTCACCTTATCCTACCTGTATATTGAAAACACCCAGATCTTCTGCCTGCTCCCCAATTTAATCGGTGTTTTGAAGCATTTTCCTGTCTGTTCTGTAACAGTAATTCTCACCACATCCAGCAGCGACATACTGCATAGAATATCCTTCGTCCATTGAAATGTTGCTTTTTTTTTAAAAGCTATATCACATATCTACTGTTAGGCCATCCCAATCCTTGAATTTAAGCCTAGTACCATTTACATTGATATTAGATTTGGGAAATGTTTTTTCGTAATTACCTACTTCTTTGTTTTTTCTGCAGTTGTTCACACTAAGACCTTTATTTTGATTTTATGTTAAAACAACATTGTTTGCAAACCTGTTTGTTTATTTCAGATTGTTTAACCACACCAGAAGAGTTGTGTTCACAGTGCGGATGATCCACAGTGAGCCGTTACTGATGTCAGCAATACATGTGTACTACGGGGACAAGCTGATGGCACTGGCCCATCTTGTTGTTGGAGACCAACTTCCACTTCCAACCTCAGTAGGACAGCTTGACCTATTGTTTTGTCTTTTCTCAGCTAGCTATGTTAACTCATTAACATCATGTGGGCAGTTGCTTTTTGTTTTGTTTATTCTTGGATAGTTATGTTAGCGTATTAACATATTAGATAGTTATGTTAGCATGTTAACATTTAGATAGTTATGTTAGCATGTTAACATATTAGATAGTTATGTTATCATATTAACATATTAGATAGTTATGTTAGCATATTAACATACTAGATAGTTATGTTAGCTTATTAACATATTAGATAGTTATGTTAGCGTATTAACATATTCGATAATTATGTTAGCGTATTAACATATTAGATAGTTATGATGTTAGCGTATTAACATATTAGATAGTTATGTTATCATATTAACATATTCGATAATTATGTTAGCATATTAACATACTAGATAGTTATGTTAGCTTATTAACATATTAGATAGTTATGTTAGCGTATTAACATATTCGATAATTATGTTAGCGTATTAACATATTAGATAGTTATGTTAGCGTATTAACATATAAGATAGTTATGTTAGCATATTAACATATTAGGTAGTTATGTTAGCATATTAACATATTAGATAGTTATGTTAGCGTACCAACATATTAGATAGTTATGTTAGCATATTAACATATTAGATAGTTATGCTAGCGTATTAACATATTAGATAGTTATGCTAGCGTATTAACATATTAGATAGTTATGCTAGCGTATTAACATATTAGATAGTTATGTTAGCGTATTAACATATTAGATAGTTATGTTAGCGTGTTAACATATTAGATAGTTATGCTAGCGTATTAATATATTAGATAGTTATGTTAGCGTATTAACATATTAGATAGTTATGTTAGCGTATTAACATATTAGATAGTTATGTTAGCATATTAACATATTAGATAGTCATGTTAGCGTATTAACATATTAGATAATTATGTTAACATATTAGATAGTTATGTTAACATATTAGATAGTTATGTTAGTGTATTAACATATTAAATAGTTATGTTAGCATATTAACATATTAGATAGTTATGTTAGCATATTAACATATTAGATAGTTATGTTAACATTTTAGATAGTTATGTTAGCGTATTAACATATTAGATAGTTATGTTAGCATATTAACATATTAGATAGTTATGTTAGCATATTAACATATTAGATAGTTATGTTAGCATATTAACATATTAGATAGTTATGTTAGCATATTAACATATTAGATAGTTGTGTTAACATTTTAGATAGTTATGTTAGCATATTAACATATTAGATAGTTATGTTAGCATATTAACATATTAGATAGTTATGTTAGCATAATAACATATTAGATAGTTATGTTAGCGTATTAACATATTAGATAGTTATGCTAGCATATTAACATATTAGATAGTTATGTTAGCAAATTAACATATTATATAGTTATGTTAGCATATTAACATCATGCGAGGAGGCGTTTTTTTTTTTTTTTTTTTAATGCTAATTGAAGGTTTAATTTGAAACACTTCCATAAGCTTTGTTACAAAAGTGTTAAAGAAACATCAACAAGTATGATAGAATTAAGAAAAGTATTCATTTTGAATTAATTATGCACCATAGTCTGGTAAGAAAAAGTCGATGTTGGCATTCAGGCAAGCATCATATAGCTTAGGTAGGCCACAAATTCTGTTCACACACAGAAAAATGGTGGTTACTCACTGAACTGCTCTCTGTCATAGAATATGCACTATCAATCCTCGCCCTCAGCAAGACACAAATCAGCAGACTGGAAAAGGTACAAAATCAGTGAGGTCTTTACACATCCACTGCACAATGAACTGAATAAATGTAAAGGCATCAGACCTGAACGAGGCCAGTCTTGGTTGAGCCGCGGAGAGACAATACTTAAACATGTGATTTCCCTTCAAGACATAAACCGTGGAGAGGAATGGATACCCATACCAAAATGACTACAAGCAGAACTTTGTGGTGGTCATCACTCTGACAAGTCAATGGTGTGTGATTTGGCACCACCAATAGTTGATGCAGAAATTAAAGCATTGGTGAAGAAACGCCCATCACCGGAAGATGCTGTTATATATACAGATGGTTCTGTGATTCATCAGGAGCGAAGTGCATGGGTTTTCACTAAAAAAACTAAAGGAAAAGTCATCAAAGAAGACAGGGGAGCCTTTGCTTCTACCCCTAGCAGCATGACGATGGAGGTTGTGGCTGTGACATCCCTAGAATGGCTAAAAACTCAGGAATTCGCCAGCTATTCAGTGAGCATGCTACAGATGATCAAGTCAGGGTATGTGCAGAAACAATGGCTCCATCTGATACAGCATGCAGCATTTCGCAAAATCAACTTCATTTCTGTCCCAGGGTATGCTGGTGTGATAGGCAGATGGAGAGCAAACACTCTGGCTGGCAGTGTGACTATCAGGAAGGGTCCAATGATGGGCAGGAGAGACATTGTCAGTGCCATACAAGAGATTCAACGCTGTCAGGCTTTCGGTTTTTCTTGAAAATTATTTTTCACTGAATAGACTTCATACACCGGGTGTACCAGTTGGAGCAGTAAGACAGAAAAACCACGTGGTAGCCACCCCTCGTTACATCAGCCAGAACAGTATGGGGGTCGTTTTCCAACTGGCAAGGGATTTTTTACATGCGCCACAATACACAAGGGTGTCTGATCTTACTAACCAGAAACCAGGGGAAATTACTAGAAGTCCAATTCCACGTGAAAAAATCCCAGCCTTTACCAGGCCTTGAACCCGGGACCTCCAGCACTCAAGGTGGATGCCAAGCCTTGAGACCACACAGCTGCCTAAACATCTACAAGGTCCCATCAGCAGACTCAACAGAAAACAACATACAACAATTTTCCATTTAAGAACAGGACATTGCAGACTCAACTATCACATGTATAAAACAGTCCCCACAGTGTGCCTGTCAGACAAGACCACAAACACCTGAGCACATTCTGCAGACCTGCCCGCTCTACTTACAACTTCAAAAAGAAACCTGGCCTCAAGAGCAAAGTGTGCAGAGCAAACTGTGGGGAACCATGAAGGACCTGCAGCTGAGATGCCAGTTCATAGAGGCAGCCCACCTTTCGGTCTAACCTGAGCATACAAAACCGAACACAAAGAAGAAGAAGAATCCTGATTTTTAAAAATAATCACGGGTCAACCCAGCCAAAAATGATGGGTGATGTTGACCTCATTACCCATTGATTACTGACTGTGCTGTAGCAATATTAATCTAGCATCATATAACTAATGCTGCTGGCGTGCTTGCTTCTTGTAAAAGAAAAAGATTATTCGATCTTGTTCAGACTTTTTCCAGCTATGTAGCTGATTCCTATAGTTGCCATCTTTATTGGGTATGGTTTGTTTGAATATGGTTTCCTTTGGTTCCATTTTGTTGTGTTGTTCTAAACGGTTTAATTGATGTTGCTTCTTCCTTGTATAGAGTTGTTTTATACCTGATGTTGTTGTATCCGGAGGCAAGGGTCTTCTATTTCTTTATTGTGTCACTTTGTTTCACTCCTGTTTATGTCAGGACACATCTGGATATTGTATTTTGGTTCCGTCCTATCCTCTCGTCGTCTTATGGTTTCTGTCTTCTGATTGGTTGTTTCTGGCTTCTATTCTTCCTTTTACGTTTTTCCGCTCTATCTTGGTATGATCTGGGTTTCTAAGATGTAATAAATGCTTAGTCCTTACAAGGACTTTTATGTAATTTTGTCTTTCCATCTTTGCTGGTGTTTCTCTCCTTCTCATCTTTGTCTGGCGTCCTCTGTGTTGCTTGACGTTTTGGATCTGGCTGGTAGGTGTTTGTGGATTTTGTCTTCTCTGTTGTCTCTCTAATCTCTTCCCTCAGTCTCTTTCCGTATTGAGCATGTTTTCTTCTGTCTTCTTTGGTTTGATGCTTCCTGGTGGAAATCTTCTGTTCATTTCTGCATTGTATCTGTCTTCAAGTTCTTGCTGCTTGCCAGTAGACTCTTTCAGCTATGTTTCCTTTAGTTTATCGTCTTTTGGCTTTTCGCTGTTATCTTGATCTATTTGGGGTTGCTTGGAGCTGATGTCTTCATGGCTTTCATACTGATTTTTCTGCAATTCCTGTAATGCTGCTGTTTTTCTGCTTTTATGCCATTAAGTGTCTTTATATTGTAGTCCAATATCTCTCTCATCTCCTTCATCTCTGCAAGTATCTGTCTTGCTTGGTCGTTAACTTCTGGTATGTTTTTCTCTAGAGTCAACTTATTTGCCTTTAATATCTTGACCTCTTCTTCTAACTTTCTGATCTGATTTTGCATCTTGGATTTCTCCACTGGAGTGAAGTATTCAGATTCTTTGCATCTTCTTCTGGCTTCTTTACATGGTACTCTCTCAGTAATTGCTATCTTGAGGATTTCCTGGCAATGTTGCAGATAAGGACAACTAAAGTACCTTGCCCCATGCTGTCCAAAACAGTTGCTGCATCGTCGATTGCTATTTGGTTTTTGATAATTTTTATCTTGCTTTGCTAGTGGACACTCATTATAGGAGTGGGAGTCAGCACAATATCTGCAAATCTCTGTTTTGCTGCAGCACACTGACTTGGTATGGAGTCCGTTTTGACATCTAGAACATTGGAGTACCCTTGGGAAGTATATCTCTGGTTTCTGTAGTTTATTATCAAGTTTGACGGTATCCGGTATACTCTCACTTTCTGTTGTTACCACTGCTACTGTTGATTTCATGTCTTTGGATATGATTCTCTCTGCTCTAATTATACTCATCTTCGGGTTTTCTCTCCTCAAGTGCTCTGCGATCTCCTGGTTCAACCATTTGGTATTCACTCTCTTGACCACCCACTTTCGGATCTCCTAAAACATCTTGGCTGCAACCAGTATCTTTTCCGGTAGCTGTAATTCTTTTGTAGGTTGCGTGCCAATGTCCTCAGTCATTCTCTTCGTCTGTTTTGTTTCATTCAGCGTAACGATAACACCCTCTTGTGTCTTTCTGATTCTGCATTTGCTTCCTATCCCCAGTGAAGTCTCCAGGTACCTGGTTATTTTGGTTCTTGACAAGTTTATTTGGTAGATCTTTACTCGTGTCTTGATGACTGGACCGTTGGACATTCTTGCGTTGCTTGGAGTCTCCTCCTCAGCCGGCATATAAGCTTTGTCGATCGTACAACCATCTGATTCCTCAGTTGTAATATTGTTCTTTGATGTAATTGGTTCTACTGCCAGCATGTCTCTTGGTGTGTCATTCTTGGCTGTATTGGCCGCGTTAGTTGACTGCAGGTTATACTGGCCACTATCTTCCCTTTCTATGATGATAGATTCAGGAAAGTTGACATCATCCTCCACAGTATCCACGTTCTTCTTGATCTGTTCCTTCTCTTTACTTCTTCTTGGTTCACTATCTTCCCTTTCTATGATGATAGATTCAGCAAAGTCAAGATCATCCTCCACAGTATCCACGCTCTTTTTGGTCTGTTCCTTCTCTTTACTTCTTCTTGAAGCGTAAAAATCATGGCGCTTAGCTGCCTTTTTATATCTTGGCATTGGTAGTAGTAGGCGTTGTTTCTATGAATAATGTGTAATACTCACAACACTGCTGAGAACTCTTGGTCAGGAACACACGTTGCCGTCTCCACCAAGCTCCCTGCCTTTCCAGAAAACGTCTGCCACGTCGTATGATTGGTCCTAGGTAAACGCCGCCAAGTCGTCTGATTAGTAGAATATCGTATACCCAAAATCCTGATCCTCTGTTTTGGCTAATGCTGCTGGCATAAAAGGGGTCCTTATATGAACATGCTGCCTATGTTGTTTCCCTGTGTTACCAGGTAAATAAGTATCTGTGCTTTGTTCTTGTCTTCTATTGCCTGTATTCCATTGAAGTCTTTTAAAACAGCTTTACATAATTGTCTGACTATTTTAGCATAATTTGTGAAACATTTGTTAGCTGGCTTAATGTTAGTTGGGTATTGTGTACAGAATGTTGCCGAATCAACCTCTGCTAATTTGTGTGAGTGTGTGGATTGTTTTTGATTTTACTAGGCAGTTTTGCGTTCATTAGTTTGCTATTGCTTTCTGAGTGGTCAGCTCTTGATACCATTGTCGAAAACAACGCACGGCAGTCTACTGCCAAATTGCCCATAGCTGGCATAGAGCCCGGCATCTCTTAATTTACAAACTGTGTTTGCAACACCTAAGCCACGGATGCTGGCCGTTATCAGGTGTCTGTGTATAATTGAAGGAATTAAATGGTATGGCAGAGTTACTAATGTAGAGCTTTGGAGCAGTGGTCACAGGTTATCAGGTACACTCTGGGCAGGAAACTTAGCGGTAGACTGAGTGGTTTCCCGGCATATTGAGATAAGGATCTCAATATTCTGCTAAAGATCTGCTATCTGATGATAAAAAATGATGATGATATAAAGATAACCAAAGATATCACATCAATTTCTGCATGGTGTTTTTAGGGGATGGCAAACCATGATCTGTTTGTGACTATCATGGAATTTGATTTTGTTACATTGACTTTATTATTAATGAAGTGTTATCTACTGTTAAATTATCTCTCTCCAAGGTTAGTGACACCAAGAAAAGTGTCACCTTAAACCCCAAAGAAGGTCAGAGGGCAGTCATTATCAAGAATCACAAAGGTGACTGGGGAATAGCAGTTGGCTGGTGGGATGGCTTTCAGAGAAGGTTGCAAGGCAGAAGAGGTAACATCCAGTTTTAGTTATGAATTATGAGAAGCACTCGCTGACATTATAACTTAATGTCCTTTACACAAAATAATTTTCTCCAAATCTCGATCAGATTCTGTGATCTAATGCCAACATGAAACAAGGACATGAACACCTGGCCTTCTTCACATTTTGCCCAGTTTACATAGCCATTTCTTTACAGCATAACATCCTCATGTCTGTCTTACCGCTTTCTGCAGCTGCAACTCTCTAAACCCAGCAGCCACAGGTGCTCTCATTGACTGCACAAATGTTTGTGAATGTTTTATAAAATATAGAAATATTTATAATATTTACAAATGTTTATGACTGTTCTCCCCCAGATAATGTGATAATCTTTAAAGATGGCTCTGTGTTGAGAGGCAGACAGAGCACATGTGGGCTCTTACCAAAAGTGAATGGATGTTGCTTAGTGCAACAAAGCCTAGCATATGACACCACAACATCTGGTTTAGGAATGGAGCTTAGCTGTACACATCGTACACACATACATATACATACATATACTCTTACATTCTCATACATACACATACATACTAATATACAGACATACATAATACCATACATACATACATACATACATACATACATAATACCATACATACATACTAATATACAGACATACATAATACCATACATACATACTAATATACAGACATACATAATACCATACATACATACTAATATACAGACATACATAATACCATACATACATACTAATATACAGACATACATAATACCATACATACATACTAATATACAGACATACATAATACCATACATACATACTAATATACAGACATACATAATACATACATACATACATACATACATACATACATACATACATACATACATACATACATACATACATACATACATACATACATACATACATACATACATACATACATACATACATACATTCATACATTCATACATTCAAAGGCTACACCTACATGCATACATAATACAAACAAACCTCCATATATGCACCAACTCACATACATACATACATACATACATACATACATACATACATACATACATACATACATACATACATACATACATACATACATACATACATACATACATACATACATACATACATACATACATACATACATACATACACAAACATAAAACACACACATACATACATTCATTCATACATACATAGATATACAGGCACACACACATTCCATACATACACACCTACACATGCATGTATGCATACACACACATACATTCTCATATACAGACACCGACACACACGCCCACAATCACTCACATACAATCACACACCCATATACAAGCGTGCATACATATATACATACATACACACATCCATACATACACTCACATACTTATATACATACTTTCACCGCTCCATATGCATACATACATACATACATCCACCAACATGCATACATACATATACACACATATACAATCACACATACAGACATCGTAATCATAACCGACTCACAGAGCATGTTGAGAAAGGTGGCGACCAGTATGCTCCGTGGAGAGTGGCAAGCATTGCTTCAGAGGTCCTGGGTCTTCTTTGGATATTTTCCCCATGATATTTGAGTGTATTAGGAAATGAACAAGCAGATAGACTGGCTGGTTCTGCATAACTTAGTGGTGAATTAATGCATGACCAGCTAGATGTTGTAAGGGCCCTTTGGGGGCGAGTAGACAGTGTGGAAGTATGGATGGATCATCATGGTCTGAATAGAATATCATTGTGAGGGGTCAAGGTATGGTGTCCGCCTCGAGTGCTGATGGCCCTGGTGAAGGTGGGGATTTTTTCACGTGGACTTCTAGTAATTTCTTCTGGTCTCTGGGTAGTAAGACCTGACGCCTGTGTATTGTTCTTCTGTTTCTTCTTTAGCATTCCGGTCACTTGAGGCTCATTGCTGCAGATATCACCCACCTCTGTTCATCTCTCTGGTTGGCCTTCTCTCTCAAGCTGGTGACACCAAGTGTTTGCTGGTCTGTCTGGACATTATCTTTTCATCTTCTTTTTGGTCTGCCTCGTGGTCTACTACCATTCATCTCCCTTGTGTATATAGTTTTTACTTCTCTGTCATTGGACATTCTTTCAATATGTCCCACAATTTCAGTCTATTAGCTCTCATGATCAGTGATCATTGGTGATTTAAACAGATTATGAATTTCGTTATTGCTTCTCACTCTCCATTCCCCACTGTTTGTGTGTATTGTTACGCACGTAAAATTCCTTGGCAGTTGGAAATCGAAAAGATTATCATAACGGCGCTGCCAAAGTATTTCAGGATCCTTGCCTGTACTACCCTGAGATTCTTCGGACTCAAGCTTGAGTTAGAAGTAGAATAGACCACTTATGGGTTACACCCGTTTGCTATGATGTTGATCTGTCGAATAAAAATAAGAAGAATCTAGTCGACGATCAGGGGAGACAGATTTGCATACTGCTACTGGTATATCATTTGAATTGGAACTCTGTGCTTGCTGCTGAAGAGGGAGACGGAGTTCTTGTTGGAATTTCCAGAGTGCTGTGATGTAGATTCTTAATTAAACATATAATATTTAAAATCCACTATTTGTGATGCTCGGTATCCTCGCCCTCTCTTGGATGGATTAATGCAGCTGTTCTTTTAATTGGAATGAGTTGCCATTTATGGTTTTGGCATTTTTTCTTTTTCTCAGCCTTCAGCAACTGTAAACTCCAGCAGAAAGTTCTGGTTGTTCAGCCACCTCTGGGCTTAATCTTATTCCAGAACTTGAGTTTTGCATCCATGTCCATTTTATAGATATGTTTTTTTTTAATTTGTGTATTGAGACTGATCATTCCTTGCCTTCCAGGCGTGTACACTCTGTTTTGAAAGAAAACAAACCCTAACTAGTCAACTTTTACAATCTGCTCGTCATTCTTTTTTTAAGCACCCTTTGCACCACATGCTCTACAAGACAAGGGGCAATAGGCTTAAAAGGGGCATATCATGGCTGGGCAGGGCAGAGGATGACATCATGCAGGTTTGCAGCCTTACAGACATCCATCCAGGTGAGGAATGGATACCAGCGTCTAAAATGCAGAATCGCACATTCTCCTGTGTCGTGACGCTCGATAAGAGTTGTCGGGAGCAAAATCCAGCTGCTGTCAAGGTATGCGCGCTTATCAGTGACAAGTCAGATGAGACAGATGTGGTGATCTTCACAGCCGGGTCCGTTATACGAGGATATAAGAGTGCAAGGGCATTTACAGCTCGCTTGTCAGGCTGACAAGTTTAAGAAGCCAGCAGTGCCTTCTCCATGACTACCAGCAGCATGAAGATGGAGGTGATGACGGTGACTCAAGCTTTCATGTGGCTAGAATCACAGAACTATTCCTGCGTGTGTGTGCTAGTGATTCTTTGAGCATGATCCAGCTGGTGGAGGCAGGCTGGTTACGCAGACAGTGGTTTGAGTCATTGCAAAACTCTCCTGTGTGTGCAGTTACCTTCATATTCATCCCAGGTCATGCAGGTGTTGTTAGTAATGAGAGAGCTGATAGACTGGCAGGCACTGCATTAATTAAAGATGGTCAGCGCATGGAACACGCAGACATTGTCATTGCCCCTAGAGAGATAAGATGTTCTGAGGATTTTGGAAGCAACGTGTCCACATCACTGCAAAAAATACGAGAATTGGGAGTAAAAATCTGCACAGCCAAGCATGAGAAGCACACTGGATGCACACAAAGTCCTGTTAACCAACATTGGACTGGCACTATTAACCACACGACGCTGATGAATATGTTGTGAGGGAAAATATGTTGAGAGGGGAATCTGAGTGCCTATGGATGCATCTGGAGTGCTGTTAAGATAATCTAACTCATAACTCAACTCTTATTACCGGCCCCGGAACCCCACACAAGGATTTCAAATTTAAAACATGCAGAATTTAACGCTTCTGTTTTCATTAGTCGCAGGGAGAACAATATGGTGCATTACTTTGTGAGTGTGACTTGTGCCTAATTATCTTTCCTTATTGCGTGCTCTTAACTTTACTCATACTGGCCTAGAGGATATCACTTTTCTAAGCATGTATTAGATCACTTGAAAGTTGTGGAGAACCCAGTTGGCAAGGTGATGATGATGGTAGCATCTGTTTAAATCATAATCCGTGCGCAGTAAGCCTTACAGTAACATCACATTGCTGTTAATGAAAATCTTTATGCGAAGAGTAAGAACCAAAAAATCTCTTGCTAAAATATAATAGAAATCTGCAGTACTAAAGAAACACATTTACTTACGTGTGCAGTCAGCAAAGATATTTTGAAAGAAACTTGGGCTATCTAGTTGAATATTCTTTACAGCATATCTTTTACAGCAGTGTAAATTGTTTCACAAACCACATGAAAGCTAAGAAAACAAAAGACAAAATGTAAAATATTGCTTATTTGTTAAAACGTATATCATAGAATTCAAATTTTCATTTGATGTGACATCTGCTACTGCATAGAGTCAAATCTGATATATTCGGCCGAAGCAGTTTCTGATAAAGGAAATGTTACATTAATATCTGTTCACCAGCTGTACACTCTGGCGGAAAGTTCTGGTTGCTCGTCCATTACTAAAATGCAGTCCTGCTCCAGAACCTGAGTGTTGCGTGTGCATCAGTTTTACAGATCTCATTCTCTTGAATACAGACTGTTGGTTCCTTGCCTCTCCGGCAGATGCACTCCGACTTCAAAGGAAGCTCCCCAATTAGTCGACTCTTACGACATGCTTTTAGGGAGACAGTGGGTCTATTCTTGTTTTCCCCACAATGGGGCCCCGGAACCTACACGGGGGGTTTTTACTACTAACATGGACACTGTCTTCAGAAAACAGAAAAGAAAAAAAGTCACAATAGAAATAAAAAGTGTACATATTACTCTAGTTGTAACTAGGAGAGATCAACTTAGGAACAATATCAGGAGGAGAGTCAGCACAGAACTAATACTGAACTTTTCGGTCGACGACAGATTAAATCTTTTTACATAAGTAGGAAATCGACCAGCAGTGTATGTACCACAGAATTAGGCTGAGATTTGTGTTAGACCGTCAGGATATTTCTGACGACTACTGGTTGAAGAAGACTGCTTTACAGCATGGGGCCGAACCAACCCCAGCATTTGTTGACTGTGATTTTACTAGGCAATTTTATATTTGCTAGTTTGCCATTATTTGTGGTTAATGGTCAACACTGATTCTGTTGTTGAAATCAACACAAACTGGTCTGTTGCCAAATTGCCTGAAATTGAATCAAAGCTGGGATGTTGGAATTATAAAACAGCATTCATAACTTCTAAGTCACAGACACTGAAAAAGCAGCTGATTATGTAGCTGAAAGAGATGGTCAGTGTCTTTGGCAACAGTTTTAGTGGAGAACATAAAAGGATTCCACATAACCTGTAATCGTAGTGTGGAAAAATATCTACTTTGCTGAGAAAAGGAAAACTGGAATATGTCCAGAGAATGTTAAAGTACAAGAGAAAGAGAGCAGAACCCAAGGGAGAAGGTGCTGGACAGTTTAGAATCATTGCATGGAGGAAGATTTGAGTCAGACATTTATTTAAATACATGAGACACAAGGCTGTGTACAGACATGACTATTAATGCCACTCGATATAGACAAAAGGGAAAATATAACATGACAGAACTTGGAGCCATGTTAGCACAGTCGACAGAAGACTTGCTTTCAAATCTAGCCACGACTTTGCTGCAGCCCACCGCCGGTGTTTGAAACTGAGCTGTTCCAGAGGTTCACCCAACCTCTAGGTGTCAAATAGTGAGGTGATTAGTTGATATTCACCCCTCCCCCCAATACTGTCGGTGTGTTGGCTCTAAATTAGATTGCAATTATTACTGTTTCTGTTGCTGAATGGAGAATGACAGTAAATACAAGTTGAAGCTAGGAATCTCACTGAAAAGAAAGACGCACACATAACAAAAAAACGTTTTGACCAAAGTCTTTATCAACTTACAAAGCAATAAGAATGCTTAGCTACAGGGGTGAAAAAAGTGATTCCATGTAAAACTAAAGTAATTCAAAATGGCAGAAAAACATAAAAAAGTAAGTTCATGGAGCAGAAAATGCTCTCCAGGGATATCCTTTAAAATGTCACTCATGAACCCACGATACGGCAGTGAAACAAACCCACCACCTTCAAAGCATGAATTAAATAACTTGATCACTTTGCCACGGAGACCCCTGGTGATCAAATGAGATAGCGAACTATTACCACCATGATGATCAGATTAGAAAACTATCATAACATAAACTGTGACTATAGAAACAAATGTAAACCATTGTTTAAACTGTTATTATCTAACCTAAGAAGTAGTTTAGAAACGTCATTGACAACTTTGCCAACATATTTATCCCCAGGATCTTGCAGTGAGGGACACCTGGAAGTGAAGTTCTTTCATCTTCCGAACAATCGTTGGCATTATGTTTCTTTCGAGCGTCTGTATTCCCTGGCTACATCCAAGTTTGAAATTGGTGACTGTGTTGTTGAGTTTGACATTGGATTCATTGAAATTAATTCCCAAAGTGCAGAAATTGCTGAAAATCTGGCCCTTATTTTCAGTGTTGCCTTGATCCATGTGCTGTGTCAGCCTCGTCCAATTAACTGGGCTCCCAAATTGACCTGGGCCAAGTCTGATGAAGAGGCGTTGCCAAAGCTAGGTGGCTCTGAGGAGATTGCACTTCTGTTAGCTGCGGGAGTGCTTGTTGCAACACCTTGCAATCATTCTATACGCAACTTATTCAAGAATAAAAAACAAACATTCGGAGAAGGGACAAGTTCTAAACGGGAAAGTCAGAGGGAAAGTGATGATCAATATGAACAAAGCAGCAGCTCTTCTGTGGTTTTGCATGAAGCTGAAGTGAGTGCAGGGTGGGCTGAGGAGTGGGCTGAGAGTGGCAACATGGTGAATGTTGATGCTCCAGACACTCCCTCTGTAGTTGGAGGCCCATTGACTGTCATACAAGAACAAGTTGATGTCGAAAGTGAGGAAGCTATAGAACAAAGTGCACATGATAGTAGCAAAGCTCTTAATAGAGTTGATCATAAACAAGTAGATCAAGACATTGCTAGAAGTGCTGTGCTGCTTACAATTAATGAGTCAGAGGAGGTTAGGGATAAAGTCTTTTTGCCAAACTTTGATACATCAAAAACTGATATGCAGGAAAGTGTTGCTCCGGAGGAGATAGCAGAAGAGGCAGATGAAGATGAGGCTGCATCAGATCAACAGAGTGAGGGGGTGTTTGAGGTGGAGGAGTGCAGCCTCGGCGCAGAAAGTCAGGCTGAGGTTTTTGGTGATGGAGAGGATGACAGTGATGAAGTGGAACTGGATGAAACGGATGAGAATTGTCTAGGACCAATCAGCTCAGGGGAAGACAGTGTGTTTGTGTTCAGTCAGAGCCTGGAGAGTAACCTACCAAAGAGCTTTCCCAGCCCCTTGGAGCCAAACTTTCCCAGCCCTCTGGAGTCAAACGGTGGCTTTGTGAATGATGTGGACAGTTACTATGATGAGTTCTACAATATGAGTGGTGATGAAACTGTCAATGGGTTTGACAGAAGTGACAGCACTGTGGTTAACCATAGTGTCAGAGAAGGGAGGAATCTACAGCATTCCAACGATGCTGATGCCAAGAATCTCACAGATGAGTCCAGGTCTAGTTCTAGAGCTTCTGGATCCAGCAAGGTTAAAGAAATAGCACATCCTGTAAGTGAGCGACCCGGACATCGTAAAAAACGAGTCGAGAAAGAAGCCTTATTAGGCCGATCAAGCAGCTGCAACTGGCCGTGTAATGCCTCTGGTCTGCTGGGTGGCAGCAGGGATCATTATGGAGATGGCAAGCTTGTTCCAAATGATAGAGGACATGATGGTTTTGGCTGCGTCAGACGAAGCGAGATTGAAGGTACCGAAGATGGTGGTTGTTTTAATGGAAGTAGAGGATGTGTTAATGGAAATAGTATTAGAAGATGATGCACGTGGGATCTCTGGAAGTGATAGCTCTGAGTGGAAGTGATCATCTGTTTTTTTAACCAGAAAATAACTTTAGATAAGAAATTAACAATTTCTTCAGTAATTGTTTGACACTGTTTACAGATTAATTTACTTTTTTCACACTGTCCAGTAGCCAGATTTTTTGCCAGTGCTAACCAGTGATCTTTGCAATACTAGTTTTTGTTTTATTTTGATGCTAATTTTTCAGGCGTAACATGGTTGTTACTGATCAGTTTGTTGTTGTGCACCATTGATAGGCAGACTCCAAAGATTTAACACACACGTTAAAAACACAAAGTATTGGATATTGTCTTGAGATATTTGCACATATGCCTGTAGTGTTACAACTTGCATTTTGAACTAGCCACCTTGACATGGCAGAGTTTTCTCTAAAGTTTTGAAACTTAATAAAGTTATTAGATATTTTTGCATGAAATTACATTGTTTTCTTCACATGCTTCTACCATTGATTTGTATAAGATAATACATATCCTACCACTTGTATAAAGAAACACATGTTCATGACATGTGCAGAAATGTACACAGTTCATGAGAAAGTTATTTAGTTTCTGTGCCCTTCATCTGTGTCTGTGATATTTTGTCCTGAATTCATTAATTTGTAAAATAATGTTAATTCTTGTTAATAGAAAATTGATGACAACATTAATGCTTACTATTGACTTTAAAATACCTGGTTGTGAAAATAAATTATTTAATTACTGGAAAAGATAATATGTTGACATTTGACATGCCAAGTTGTTCAAGAAGTTTATTTATAAGCAGGAGAAGAAACATAGTGACTACTCTGCCAAAACTGTTTAGTATAATCTCAACAGGATTGAAACAGGAATTTTTTTCTGATTGAAAAGACTTTGCTTATGATTTTTTAGGTCAGTGCATGTAAATGTGTTTTTTTATATGCAGTGTAGAATGTATCACTGAAATAGTTTATACTTTGTGCTAGATATTTTGTAAGACTAACAGACATTTAGTTTAATTATCATATCATTTTCCTCACTTTGTATCAGATATTCGGTTAGTATAAAATATCTAGTTTATTTACCACTTCACTTGTGCCACATATTAAATTAGACAAAAGAATATTGAGTTGATTTACCATATGGTGCATACCACATATTAAGAGAGCGTAAATATGTCTGGTTTAGATGCCAAATTTCTGTGCTGACGCAGGGTGTTTAGTCAGGTTAACAGTCTGTCTAATTTAGTACCATATCACTGCACGTATCTCACATCAGATATGTGGTAAGAGTTTTAAAAAAATGTATATATTTTTCATATCATATCACTATGCTTAGTTTATGTCACATATAAAGTGAGGCTACAAAATATCTAGTTTAGTATACTTTGTTTAAAATATTTTTTGTAAACAATAAACAATTGAGAATATAATGTACCATAGATTATGGAAATAATCGTCAGCTTACAGTTTTATATTAGCAGGTTGGGCCTTAGAACCGTGTGTTATGCAGTGGCAATAATAATCACATATAAATATAATTTATATATAAAACAATTTACAGTTGATTTACCAATGACCAATCTGCAGCTAGAGCTTATTATTCTTATCATGGAGGGCTTGAAAATGATACTGATAGTTCCTTCACATTCTTCATTGTTATCAGATGAAGATTTCTGTTCTTTTTTTTTTCTCCCAGATCTTTAATTTTCAGTTGAACTGTGAATTTTGTTTGCTATTTTTATTTGGCTGTGTTGTATATTTTCTTCTAAACTTTATCTGTATTTATTTGTCATAAAGTAATTGAGGTGGCTTTCTTTGCTAGGTGTTTTGAAGTTGTAAGGAGTATTCAAGAAAATCTGCGTTGTCGCAAATGAAGGATGTCAGTTTGTATGTTGTCTGATTTAGCTATAGAAAGTTGACTGAATAAACATACATGTTCAGTATTTCTACTTAGTGATGTCACTGTCAACCAACAATGCTTTTGTTTACTCTTTTCTGTAAACTGGATGCTTAATTAATTGCAAACAACACTGGTCAAATCAAATTGGGTGAGAAGTTTTTATTTCTGTGAAGGACCCCCATATTTATGTATTTTTTGTATTTGTCTGCTTCATTATCAGAGTGGACCACAGTTTGTTTTTTCTGTTGTGGTGAAGATTATAAAAAGATACTAAAAAGAAAATTTATAACATGTGCATCTTATTAACTTCCATAGAATGAGTTTATGGGCCGTCACAGATGAGGTTACATATTAGAAAACGTTTCCCAGTCTGCAGGCTGAATAACTTGATATGGCATTTTTCAGCCATTTTATATATCATCTGCAGGATCAACAATGGTCACCAAAATGTGGCCAATACAAGTGTCCAGAATCGGAACATCATTTTTAAGAGAAAGGAACAAATTAAATTTTTACCCCCAACATAACATATAGGGCACACAGGCCCATCTTACACATAATTTAACAACTGAGAGAGAGAGAGGGGGGGGGGGGGGGGGGGGGGGAGAAGACTATAAAATAAAATGTATATTAGAACAGAAAAGTGACCAATAAAGTTGATAATAAGCCACTTGACATTGCTAAACCTGCCTGTGATACCCAGAAGAGACATGATTCAAGAATTAAACATGTGAACATGAACAGAAATAATCGAATGCGATAGTCATAATTATGTAATAAATTTTGGAGTGAAATAGTCATCACTCTATAGTCATGGACAGAAATATTGGAGTGCTGTTGTCATATCTGTAGTCAAGAACAGAAATAGACGAGTGCAATAATCATACCTCTATAGTCATGAACAGAAATAATGAAGTGCAATAATCATACCTCTATAGTCGTGAACAGAAATAATGAAGTGCAATAATCATACCTCTATACTCATGAACAGAAATAATGAAGTGCAATAGTTATAACTCTATACTCATGAACAGAAATAATGAAGTGCAATAATCATAACTCTATACTCATGAACAGAAATAATGAAGTGCAATAATCATAACTCTATACTCATGAACAGAAATAATGAAGTGCAATAGTTATAACTGTTTATTCATGAACAAAAATAATGGAGTGCAATAGTCATCACTCTTTAGTCATTAATATAAACAATAAAGTGCAATAGTCATAACTTTATACTCATAAACAGAATTAAAGGAGTGCAACAGTCATAACTTTATACTCATAAACAGAAATAAAGGAATGCAATAGTCATAACTTTATACTCATAAACAGAAATAAAGGAGTGCAATAGTCATAACTTTATACTCATAAACAGAAATAAAGGAGTGCAATAGTCATAACTTTATACTCATAAACAGAAATAAAGGAGTGCAATAGTCATAACTTTATACTCATAAACATAAATAAAGGAGTGCAATAGTCATAATTGTATACTCATAAACAGAAATAAAGGAGTGCAATAGTCATAACTTTGTATTCATAAACAGAAATAAAGGAGTGCAATAGTCATAGCTCTATAGTCTTAAACAGAAATAAAGGAGTGCAATAGTCATAGCTCTATAGTCTTAAACAGAAATAAAGGAGTGCAATAGTCATAGCTCTATAGTCTTAAACAGAAATAAAGGAGTGCAATAGTCATAATTCTATAGTCTTAAACAGAAATAAAGGAATGCAGTAGTCACACCCTATAGTCGTGAACAGAAATAAAGGAATGCAATAGTCATAACTCTATACTCATGAGCAGAAATAATAGAGTGCAATGGTCATAACTTTGTACTCATGAACAGAAATAATGGAGTACAATAGTCATACTTAATAGTCATGAACAGAATTAAAGAATGCAGTAGTTATAGCTCTATACTCATGATCAGAAATGAAGGAGCACACAAATTTTAACTCTGTAGTCATGAAAGACATACTGGAATACAGTCCTCATATTGTCTATTCAATGAAGACAATGTTAGAAGGTTAGGTTAATGTTACTGTCATTTTTACATTTTGTATTTTTTCCTCTTGTTTAATCATTTCCTTTTGTGCTAACTTTTCATATATTTTTAATAAAATATTTCTATCTTTTTTGTCTTATACCTATTTTAATTAAGACTTCTATGTTCTGTTGTTTTGTTTTTCTGTTGACATTTCTCACAGGATGGCTCACATTTTTTCACAACAGATTTAACCTATCCTAATTGAAATGGTTATTGTTTTTTTCATAGATACTTATCATGGTCACTTAGAATATGGAACAGTGGTAGCCAGTGGTCAGCTCACTGCCTGACCAACTCCCTGATACCGCTTGAACGCCACATGGTGCAGAATTTCTCCTGAATAGCACACCGCTAGGCTAATGCTAGTCCCAAAATAAGTCATTTAAATTGTTCTTTGGAAGAGAGATAGCCAGTCTGGTACTAAATATATAATCTGCTATGGAGTATTCAGGGACTGAATATATAATCTGCTATGGAGTATTCAGGGACTGAATATATAATCTGCTATGGAGTATTCAGGGACTGAATATATAATCTGCTATGGAGTATTCAGGGACTGAATATATAATCTGCTATGGAGTATTCAGGGACTGAATATAAAAGCATTAGGGCCTTATTATGACTTGATTTGTTTTTAACTCTTTCAAGTCCCAAAAAAGGCATGGCATGTGAATATCTCTATCTGCTGAATCCCCTCTCCATTTTAAAATGTCCTCTTACTTTTTTGTATTTGGTCAGAACACACTAATTAAATCTGGCTTGTCCAGTGGTCACCACCACCGTTATATTGCTGTTTTGAAAATAGTGTGCCTTGATGGATTTTAATCATGGATATTTCTTCATTGCGTCTCCTACGAAAGCTTCTGGTACTAAAAGAGTTAAGGGGCTATTTTATGAGTACATGGGACATATGATGCTACTCCCACATGTGTATAGACCAGTCAGCAGCACTATCTTGGTCATGTGGTCAGCATCACACAATTTTGCCTTGATGGCAAGGTAAACATGAAGGTACTATACTTTGACACCACTGGTAATTGATTTGATT